CCTTACTGTTAACACTTGGGCTGCAACAGTACACTATGCTTCAAATTCACCTACATACTATATGTAGAAAATGGAATGTACAACTTTTTTCTTTTTTTTTTAAGAAGTACTAACACTCTCTCTTGCAAGATGAGTTATTTTTTCCTTCTAAAAACATAGGAGAGGTAGATGGACACTTCATGTTTCAACTCAGTCATGTGTGCTTGCTGCTTTTATTCTTCCTTTCATTATCTCAAGATTTGGCACAAGAAGAGCATTACGTAAGACTAAATAATTTTTACATAAATCTGAGTGAATGCCTTTCACGAAGTAGTGGGTGCTTATCGTGGCTATAAGTAAAAATGAATCACTTCCTTTTTAAATGGGAGCTTTAAACCTTGTATTTTGTGTGGTTAATTGCCACAAGCCAAAATAACCTTTTAAGCTCTATGAATTTTCACAGCTGCAGACTGGAGGAAAAAAAAACCCACACTGATAAATAGAAATGTAAGAATTTTCAAAAAAAATTATTCCCCACTCCAACTGCCTCTTTTAGCACGAAGCCCAGCTCATTTTTCCCAGAATGTTAAATGTTCCTAACACGTGTCTGTAGAGCCAAGAACCTGAGTATCATCTAAAGAATAGAATGAGAAAGAATAACACAAGGACAGTATGAATCTGACACTTCAAGAACAGCATGGAGAACAGTCAACAGGTCAAGAAGTATGGGTAATTAAGCTTTTGCTAGAGACTGACAGATGAAGTAGGTTTGGGCCTCAGCAGCTCAGTAACAGAATCATGGAAGATTCTTGCCATGTTCTTATATATGAGGAAATACAGGGATGTACTCTGCACATGCTTTTAAGATAAGGGAATAAATATCTGTATTACAATGCAAGATTAGTACATGGAATAGGAATCTGCAAATCGAGAACCTAGGAGGAAAACTGGGGAAAAAAGATCATTTCCTGTCTCCTTGATGAAATTAAGTGAGAATCAGTACTGGGACTGCAGTCATAAAACCCAGTTATGCTAGAAGAGAAATTCTTTGGCCTGTTATCCTCCTCCTGCACTATGGGACGGTTATCTCCTGGTGCAAAAGATCCTTGCTTCAGTAAAAGACAAGGAAGAGGAGTGAAGGATCTGCTGTTGGAAGAGGAAGTTT